CTCTGTACCTACCCATGCCATACTCACTGTACACCACACATTAAATTAATTTAAAAATTTTATCTATAATTATTTCTAATAGAAATTTATAAACATATTTTTTAAGTTATATTACTTTGACTCATGAGCAAACTTGCTTAGAATTATTAATACGTAATCTGGTTTTTAAAATTGAGAACTTTTTTATTTTTTTAGATGCCTTATGGTTTATTTGTCTAACACAGGAAAAGTTGCTTTAAACATTATGTAAAAACAGAATTAAGGGGAAGTTCCACTCTTTTGTGTTAAGGGTGAAGGATTTGGGTATACCTATATATACATGTATACACAGAAATTCTTTTGTTGAGGTGCCAATATGAGTTTAAAAAATTTAATAGGGGAGAGAAGTTTTCTTTCCTGCTCCTCACTCTCTTACTCCCTCTTTTAATCCTGTCCGACTTTACTGTCACCATCTTTAGCATGTGAAGTCTAGCTGTACCAAAGAATGTTCATTCTTAGATCTTTTGTACAAGCGAGGAGGCTCATTATACAAGAATAGTGAGAGATTTTTGAAAGGTGTGACATTTGGGATTTAGCTATGGAAGATGAAAAGTTTAATTGTTTGATTCTACAGAAAATTGTTTAATATTTTTTAAAATTGTGTGTTTTGGATATGTTATTTCTAAATCTTAAAATGATAAATGTAATATTACATGCTGTAAAGTTGGTATCATTCAGTTATTTCAGATACTCAAAAAGCTTGAATTAGAAATTTCTGGAGTAACAAAATGAACTTTTTGATTTCACTTATATGTGGAATCTAAAGAGCAAAGTAAAGGAAAAAACGACAAAAATAGACTCATAGATACAGAGAACAAACTGATTCCCAGATGGGTGGAGGGTTGGGAGACTAGATGAAAAAGGTGAGGAATTAAGAAGTACAAATTGGTAGTTACAAAATTGTCATGGGGGTATGAAGTACAGCATAGGGAATATAGTCAATAATATTGTAATAACCATGTACAGTGCCAGGTGGGTACTCGACTACGCAGGGAGATCACTTCATAAACTATATAAATGTCTAACCTCTATGCTGTATACCTGAGACTAATATAAAATAATATTGAATGCTAATGCTCATTGAAAAGTAAAAATTAAAAAAACTAATTAGTAGCACCTTTTGACATATTAAAGATTTAACTTTATATTGAAATGGTTCTAGACAGCATCTTATATGCAAATATTTCCTCATATATTAAGAGTGCTTTTCTCAAAGTCTGAGATAAATCTCAACGTTATTTGGTAAAAATAAGGTAGAATATGAGCCCAATAAACACAGTGGCGGAGCCCAGAGCAAACCACTCTAAAATATCTCACAAGTGATATGGCACATTGATTATTTTGAATTAAAATTACTTAAGAAACTTTCAATATGAGAACACTCTGACCTATCTCTCATTTACTTTCTCTGTGCGTCCTCCTGAAAGCAGGGGATAAACTCCCCTGTGTAAGATGCCCTACCTATATCTGGAGATATCCTTATCACTAGAGATAAGAAATCTAGAGCCAAAGAATTATAAACAAATCTTGTGGTCTCTTTATTAATTTACTACCTAAGCCCAAACTTTGTTTAGATTACTCACTAATTAATACCCAAACCTTACTTAGATTTCTTGCTAATGAACAATTTTTTTTTTTTTTGTCCTGTTAATTCTTCACAGATTTATTCTTTCTCTAAAAAGTACAAAACACTGGCTGGTTCATCATTTCTCTGAACATCATTTATGATTCTCTTGTGCACATATATTAAATTGTTTTTTCTCTCCTGTTAAAAAACAAACAACAGCAACAACAACAAAATGAACTTTTCTCCTAAAATGGCAAAATTGTCCTCATAGTCTGCTTGGACTGCCATAACAAAATGCCACAGATCAGGTAGCTTATAAACAACAGAAATTTATTTCTCACAGTTCTGGTGGGTGGAATTCCAAGATCAAGGTGCCACTAAGGTCACGTTTAGATGAAGGCCCTTTTCTTGGTTCACACTTGGAGCTTTTTCACCACATCTTCATATGGTGGAAGGAGCTAGGGATCTCTCCGGAACTTCTTTGTAAGGAACAAATCCCATCCATGAAGGTTCCACCCTCATAACTTAAGAACCTCCTAAAGGCCCCACTTCCTAAATACCACTACTTTTAGGGATTAAATAGCAGTCCTCTAAGATCTTTATTTTCATATGATCACGTGGTATTGGGAAAATGGTGTTTCTCATTCACATTTTTATCCCATGCAGTATTTCTATTTACAAATGGTCATTTTTGGTGAAAAAACTATTTGGAGTAATTTCTTCATAAAATAAGTCATTTGATGTGCATTTCTTGTCTGAATACTATATCTTAGGTCTCCAGTTTGAAGAGTAGTACGTTTTTTTCTAAGAGAGAAAACACACAAAATACACCTTGCTGTTCTTTTAGCAGAGTGAAGACAATATTGCCTTTTCTTTACAGGTTTCAAGTCACGGGCCAGGTTGAAGATAATGCCTGTGCTGTGATAACAAAGAAGGGTGTTTTTTCTGAAAAGTGTCACAGTCACAATTACTGGATTTGTCAAGATGTGGTTTCTTCAGATGATGGCCTTTAAATAGATCACGGGTATCTTTCCCATCAAAAAAATTCTCAAATACACTTTATTTATGTATTTTTATAGAAAAAAACACTTTGTTTCTACAACAAACATATGATAATAATGATGGTAATAGTATAGATTTGTGTTACTATAAATGCAAGTAATCACCCTCACTGAGTCTTTAGCTATACCTGGTCACTCTCACTTTATTTCCATAGACATCTCTCACTCTTGATAGTGGCTATCTCAGACAGAAATTATCCTTTTGTCTCCTCAATAATTTTCTCCCTGCACCTGTCATCCACCATTATCAGAAGAGCTTGTGTTTTTTTTTGTGTGTGTTTGTTTGTTTTTAAAGAGAACATATTATATATATTCCTGAACTTTCTAACATTGGGTCTACATATTCATCTTCATCTTACTTATTACTTTTTCTTCTCCTCCTATTTCCAAAAAAACAAAAACAAAAACAAAAACAAAAAACCCAGTATCTCTCTTTCTGTCTAAATCAAATCTGTAAGTCTGTAGTCAGGATTGCATCCATTTTAATTTTTTCAGGGAAATTCTTTCCTTGACTACCTCCTCTCTAACCTCTCCTTATGCTTCCTTTTCTAACAGCAGCTAAACATGCTAGAGCAACAAGAAAACTTTCCCTCAACCCACATGCGGTTTCTAGTTTCTGCCCATTTTTTTCCCCATCCCTTACAAGTCAAACTTCCTAAAAATTGTTGATGTTCCCTTTTTCTTCTTTTTACCTCAAGTTCTCAAATCTGATCTCTGCTTTTCGTACTATTTCACTAAAGTGTTCTCACCATGTCACCAATGACTTTTTTTCTGGCTAAATACAATGAGAAATTTTTAGCTTTCACTTTAACTCTCAGCAAATTCTCTCATTATTGACCTATCCTTTCTTCTCGAAGTATTCTCTAATCTAAATACCCTCAGCATCTGCAACACAAAGCTATCTTGAACTTCTGTCTATCTCTCCAGCCATTCTTCCTCAGTCATTTCTGCAGTGTTTCTTTCCTCTTCTGATCTCTTAAATCCTGATGTTCCTCAGAGTTTTGTGTAGGTCCCCTATCACACACAATTCTTGGCTGAAAACATTCAAGCTGTAATTTCAATTGCCATCAATTTATTGATAATTCCCAAACCTTTACTTCTAGCCCAGACCTTATTACAGTGGATCATTCATTGAGCGTCTCTATTTGAATACCTCGAGGCTCTTCAATCTTCACATGTTAAAAATTAAATTTATTAACTTAGTGAATGACAGCAACATGCACACACTAATCCAAGCCAGAGTCCTTGGAATTAACCATGACTTCCATTTTTTCACCCCAATATTCAAACACTTATTTAATTTCTGTCAATTTTACTACTTAAATATTTCTGGAATTCATCTACATATCTTCATACCTACTTTGTAATCCTGGATTATTGCCGTAATCTTTTTGCCTGCTTCTAATTTTGTCTGCCAAAGTCCATTCTCCATATGGTGACGTAGTGACTCTCTAAATCTCATACTAGACCACAGTACTTACCTCATTCTCTTCAGTGGCTTTTCATTGCTTAAAACTTTTTCCAGTGCCTATCACACCCTTTGTGTCACAGCTCCTCTGTATTCCTCCCCACTTTCATGTGCGTAATGATGTAGACACTTTAAACTTTTTTTGTTCCTCAAATGCATCATGCTTTCTCAGGCCTCTGATCTAATCACATATTGTTTGCTTCAATTTAAAACTTTTTATTTTTTCCTTTTCTTAACTTTAAACTCTTACTTAATTTTCAGGTGTCTAGTTAAATGTTATCTGAAGGAAAATACTTTCTTGACCATTCTTCACTACAGACTAAATTACATGGATTTTATATATATTTTCATAACTCCCTATACTTATCTAATCTTAACATCTAGTACCTTCTTTTTTGGACATTGTTTAATTAATTGTGTTTCTTCATGCACTGTAAGCTCTGTAAGGTCAAAAATCCTTATCATTGTTTGGAACAATGATGTATAATGGAAGATAAATAAGTACCTTTTATGTTGTTGAGTATGTATTTGTAACATGTTCTATGATTTTCCCAGCACAACTTTTACTAGTTATGCAAATATTCCCCTAGTTTAATCATAATCTGCATATAGAGAAATAAACCACTTAATTTTTTTTTAAAAAAGCTCACGTTAGGTTTACAAGAGATAATAAATAAAATTTTTCTGGTTTACTATTTGTTCGTTTTTGTTTTTAACCTAGAATTTTAACCTACATTGAGATTTGGGGCAGCGAGATTACCAAATTAATGCTTACTAATTAAGCATAAATTCAGCAATGGGAAACCTACTTTAAGGCCTTAGATTCACTGAGAATAAAACTTAAAGGATATACCAGAATTTAAAAAAAAATATATTTACTTCAAATACATATGTGTGAACAGAAGTAATTATAGTTTTAGGGAACAAAACATAAAACATTCAACTCACTTAAAAAAATTAAACACAAAAAACACAAAACAATGTTTATTTAGTATATGTACTATTTTGTAAATGTGAACATTTAAGAAATGTGGAAAAAATGGAAAGAAGTTACAATCGAAGGAGAGAGAAAAATAATGGAAGATTAAGAGTTCTCAAGATCTCTAATATTTAAAACCAAGTTATTAATGTTCTTTGAAACACTAATGTTAACTTAAACAGTAAATGTTTAAATAATTAAATATTAAAACATGAAGTTTTATCAGCTTAAACAATTAGTCTGCATTTTTTAAATTCTTACTTAAGGATTATTGATGAAATAATATTTCCCATTAAATTCTAAAATCTGTGTTTACGCAAGGAAATGTTTTCCCTGTAAACTTCTGATATGAGAATTCTAAAAACTACTCTGAATTTAATTAGCCATTCCAAAAAAATTCTAATAAAAATCAAACCTTGTTTTTTTATTTCCATTATATACCTGTCTATATTTTTAATGAGGAATTAGAGTGCCCAAATCACAACTAAAGTTATTAGACCACCCAGTCCTCCAAATTAATATGTTAAATTATATAGTGATACTAGTTGTTGGGAAGGGAGCATATTAAATAATGTAAATTAGAAGATTCTTAGTGGAAAAGTTTCAGGAATAAATGGGATCATTGAAATTTATGGCACTTCAAAGTTTTTATCCTTAAACTTCAGTCTTATTTTAGAATGTATGTTTGTTATGTGTTTTTGCGTTTGTTTGCAATTGGGGAAAAGTACTGTTTTCGATGAGATCACTTTTAACTTCTCACTTACCCCTCCGTTATACTTGAGAGCTACATGGACCTCCCTCCACCACAAAAGGAGAACAGCTTAGTTTCCCTTGCTGCTGAAATCCTAATATGTCATCTCCTGCTCCCATTTCCCCTGGCCCTCATTTCCCTTCTTTGAAAAGTTTTATACTGTTAACTGTTTTTCACTTTATCTGATGCATTACCTGTAACAACTAAAACAGATCTAACATTAGGTAAGCCGGAAGTATTGCTAGTGTTGCTTCGTTGAT